ATTTGTTCATAAAAAGTTGTAAACATTGAATGTTCACCATCAAACTAGCAAATGGACGGTTCATCAATCCCTAATTCACCTTATGAAGCCATGAACCATAGCTGGCTGGTGATTTTGAATTGTCTCATACTGGGATGCAGCCCGAAGTTTTGATGCTTCAGTCTCGATTTTTGTTGGTGAAACGGACGCAAAACATACAAGGTGGAAGCCGGCAGATATATCAGTTGGTTTTGATGCACCCATCTACAAGGTGGTGCCAGTTATAAATGGCTGAAATCATCCCATGATTCAACTACTTCGATATACAAAAACCATAGTGAAATTGGAAATCTGATGAAAACTACTTGAATATATATATATATATCACCAACTTAAAAACCATGAAAACTATAGATATATCATGATATATTAACAAACATTTTCGCAAACTTATAGTTATACCAGTTATAAACCATAGTCAAAGGGAATTTCAGGCTCCTAAAATGGAGGTACGGTACCATATAAGACCATATTTTGTGGGGATGTTCACTTACATAGGCCTGAAAAATAGGCCTTATAAGGTAGGCCACCTGATCGTCCCCATGGAATTCCATGGCTCTTTCCTGGCTCTTTCCAGGGAAAATCCCCAGCTGGATGGTTTCCTATGTGGAAAATCATAGGAAAATCCTCTCGGAAATATGGAAAAGTCCCAACTCCTAAACCTCCATCAGTTGATCCAACTAAGGTTTTGGAGTCTAGATTCCATAGTGGAGATGGAGCTTCCAAGTTTTGAGACAAGACCCCCAGATTTTTACTGAAATGGATCTCAAAATTGGATGGCTCCCAAAATTAGATGGTTTCAGATCCTAAAAATGAAGTGAAACAGTCTCTGGCGTTGCGTGGTGAAGCCAGAGGTGGAAATTGCTCGCATCTTGATCCACATTTTCCCCAAACATAGGGGTGGGAGCTGTTGAATCTCCATTTTAAAGTTGCTTAAAACATGTTAAAACGGTAAAACCTCCATTTTGGCGCATGAAATCCATGTGAAATCCCTATGTTTTTCATGGCGAAATCTCCGTCAGGACGGCGATGTGGGTTGCCCTAGCTATTGTGGTCAAGGTGATTGGGAGGCCGGGCCGCATGGGGATGGTTTCATCGTGAAAAATAGGGCCTAAACCACGACCATCTCGTAATTTGACGTAGCTATTGAAAATAGCCATAGAAATAGTTGAATTATCTATTGCTTTTCCATGGTTGGTTTAATCATGAAAAATACCCTCTGGTAAACTAACAGTTTGCGACCTGGAAATCACCATTTTTATTGCTAAATCATCTGTAAATGGTCCATGTTCCATGGCTACGTTCATTTACTGGAGAGTAACCACTCAGCATGCAGGTTTGAAGAGGTAAAATAGGGTTCTTAGATGTTCTTAGCACAGATTGGCAGATTGAATCGTACAGCGACTAAGTGACTAATGCAGAGAAGCATGAACAAAAAGGACAGATTGACCAACCAGAAAATGATGGTTCACGCTGCAGAAATGGGAATCCAAACCAGAGAATGATGGTGGAGCTGGTGGTTGAACTGCATCCTAGCGGTTTGGATGATCGATGCAAATCTGCACCCCTTAGATCTGGAAAGGTCTGCAATCTTGTGGAATTCACCATGTTTGGGTTCCATCAAGAATTGGCATTCAACTCGGAAAAATGGATAAGAATGCTGATATGAATGGGAATACAAGCAACAATATCCAATGGGTTTCATATGAAATTTCAAGGAGTGTAGAAGGAATAGTCTGGTTGATGGTGTACCCCAAACGGTGCATCACCTGTTCCATGGCCAGTGTGTCATATCCAACCAGGAGTTTATTTTTGGCTACGAACATTGCTGATTTATCGTATAGAAATCATGGTGAAACACTGGCGGAATAGGTCCGCAACGAGTTGCGGTTTACCATCTGGTTATTTAACATAGCCATGGAAAATCACCCTTTTGAATAGGTAAAGCATCTATAAATGGGCCATTTTCCATGGCAAACTGTTAAATAACCAGATGGTATGTATCCAAACTGGCAATGTAACTGTCGACTTCTGCAGGTTGGATTGCCAGGGAATTCATCCTCCGAAATTGATGACGAGCTGGTGATGATTTTGACTGTCCTTTGTCAACTGGGTCGACCTTTGTCAGAAAACGGTTTATCCTCTTGGGCAGCCAAGAATTGCGTTGTTTGCAGGGTCCTAGTATGCACAGACGCATGGATGGCTAGGACAATGATGCTTTAGAAGGAGGGCTGAGAGGGCTGTTTAGACCCACATCAACTTCTTACTGGTGCTAGTAAGACTTTCATCCCGACTTCGAGCAGAAGCTGTGACTTTCGCTACAGTCTGACAGTGACAAATTTCGATGAGGCGATGGATGCCTTGAGGAGCTCAACAAGAACATGAGGGCTCACTGGCTTCATGGTTCTGCTTGAAAAAAAACAAGAACCAGAAGATTGGAGATTTGATTGGCTCAACATTGGCTGAGCGGAGTAGCAATTTCTTGCACCATTTTGAAGGGGTGACAGGTCTCAAAAGGGAGCTTATGAAACCATAAAGTGAGCTTAGGAAAGATTAGCCATGTGAATAACAATCTTGGATTTTTGTTGCCACTGCTGACAGCAGTATTAGGGATACAATCCAAACACTATTACAATGGATTTGTCGAAGAATTGTGAATTTTACGCCCGACAATACCATGTTCATATATAACATTAATGGCATCTTACATTCCACTTCCATATGCTGATATACTGATAGATTATAGCATGTCCGGTGTTAATATACATTAAAGCCAATTGCAGCATTGGTATATTCATTTCTTTTAACCACTGGATTTTGAGGATTCCCCCGTGAGTTTCAGGAGCACCCATTCCAAGCACAGATCATGATCAGAAAGAAGCCTGTTTTGGGATCGCCGAGCTGCAGAGTTCTTTGCCGATCAACTTTGTGGCTCGATGAAATCCCCACAAAACCACCGTGGCCCGTTGGCGCTGGATTCACCAATACCAACTGGAAATCACGGTGGGATATGCCACAAAATGCAGAGAGAGCCCCTCAAGACCAACGAAAATGGGTTTATAACTAAAATACCCGGGGTTCATTCGTGGATATATCTGAAGCTGGCTGATAGACGAACAAACACAACAGAGGGGGCCCTCTATCGTAGGTTTACCTCAATATACCACGATATTCCTATAGCAATTATTTGCACATCATCATATACTGGTTGGTGGTTTGGAACATGAATTTGATTTTTCCGTATATTGGGAATAATAATCCCAACTGACAAACTCATATTTTTCAGAGGGGTAGGGCTCAAGCACCAACCAGTATATGTTTGGTCAAAACAAAATTCCCTATACCCTTTGGTAATTTAACATAGCTATTGAAAATGTACCATAGAAATAGTTGATTTACCTATTCAAAATGGTGATTTTCCAGTTCGCAAACTGTAAACGTTTACCAGAGGGTAAATCGTTTTTTGCTAAATCCCCAGGTTTAAACGGTTGACCAACTCACATTGCGGTTTTCTTTGGCCAGGTCTCAGAACTTCCATTTTGCATGCCACGTGGCTCCTTGCTTGCACCGGGAGGCTGGTTTTGTGGGCTAAAACTGGGATGGGGCCCTCATGGAAATGATTGGAAGTTAACCAAAAATATGTAGTATATCTAACTTAATAGAAAATGTATTAATAGATAACTGGAAATGATTGGAAAATCAGTGAATGCTGATATCCATTAATTCAGGCTAAACCCAATCATATTAGCATTCAGCATTCATTCGCCCGATTTTAGCCTTTGGGAGGTATCAAAACAATAGCCAAAAAAGATGTTGATGAGGGTATGGAGCCAAAGTTGGTGCCCCAAAACAAGAAATATGGTTGATATCCTCCGGTAATCCAACATAGCAATTGACAATCCCCCAAGTAGTTCAATGAATTTCCCAGCGAACCAAACCTCCATGGCTAGGCCGCAGGGATTTCTCAGCCTGCCACGTTACCGTTCCGGTTGTGATCTTTGGAGGTGTCCCAAACAGACTTGTTGGTGTTCAAACCGCAACAAATTACGGTAATGTGGGTAAAACGATGTCATGTTTACCATCCCCCAGTCATCACCATTTTTATAGGTGATAAGCATTCCCAGTCATGGGTCGTTTATGACATTGTTTTACCCACATTATGCCGCTTTAACATGGAAAATGATGATCAACCACAAGATCATCACGGGTTTCCCACTGTCAAACTTCTTCAACTGTGATGATCGTCTCACCCACCAAGCACCCTACGGCCCTGCCGGCTCAAAGCCACTTCGGCTTTCCATCGTCTGAGATCACCTGTGGGAAAGTTGGTACCATGCAGTGCTTCAATAAGAACGTCGGATATGGGTCAAAATTTGAGACGGGGACCGATGTATTTTAGTAGATCGAAATCGTATTAAGCATCTAATTATGCGGCCACCCAATTTTGACCCAAATCCATATTGACTGGCACCATACGACTGACTTACATCCTTTCAAGGCTGGGATCCATTGGGGGGTTGACTTTTTTTTTACCACAAACAATGCAGTGATTGGTCATCACATTTCCTATAGATCAAGGCAAGTCTGGGTATACCCATATCATCCCATATCCATGATTATTATTCATAGGAAATGTGATGATTTTTACCATCCCTGATTGAAATATCCCCAGTTTGGACACACCATGGGCAAATTCACTGGCTGATGACTCCCCCGATGGTGAAATTCTCAGTGTTTTTTTACGAATGCCCCGAGTTTTTTCGGTACCAATACATCCGGACAAGACCTCAAAATATCCCATTTTTTGGGGTCCCCAAGAGATTGGATATGGGATTTTTGTGGGATGTATATCCATCTCGAAACACCCGGTCCCCCCCGGTCAACACGCGGATCGTAGCTGTTCCCTGTCCATAGATCCCCTGACGGCATGCGGCGAGCCACCGAGCTGAGCCTCAAAGTTGATGCCGGAGTTTACGGCGCAGCAGGCGCGATTTTCCACGCGAAAAAACGATGGGGATACCCCCTAGAAAACATACAAAAAACTATGGGAAATCACCATTTTTTCTCCGGTTACCCAAGAATTTTTGGGGTTCCATAGATGAAGGTATTCCAATATGGATGGTTTATGATGGAAAAACCTATAAAAATGGATAACTGTATAACGGTAGCCCCATTTCAGGAGGTTTCTCCATTTCGTGATGATTAGCTCTAAATCCAACGGTCCAATATTTGATCATCATTTCATCATTTTCCTCAATGGCCATGTGAGGGGGTAGCACCTGACGACTGCTATGGTGCCGACTGAAGGCAAGAAGCTGAGGCATTTTGGGCATGATGGATACCCTCTGGTAAACATAACAAAAAACTATGGGAAATCATCATTTTTAATGGGAAAACTCACTATAAATGGCAATGTTCAATAGCTATGTTAGTTTACCAGAGGGTATGACCTTCGGTCCCTTGAAATTGTGACCAATTTCGCGGACACATGCCTCTCACGATGATCTTTGATCTGGCGAACATCGAGCAGCTGTCCTCCACTCGGTGCAACCTCTTGGTCGAGCGGCCTGACATGCCGACGTTGCAACACAGTAAGTGATTGCCACAAGGCGTAGAGGTCATTTTATCTCTTTATCTGCCCAGTTTCCCCCTATTGTCTCTGGGGCGCGTGGGGAGCAACCCAGAGAAAATATGATTTCGAAGTGAAAATAGGTATGGGGTTGATGGTAAGTTAAACCCTGTTGAAGTGGCATAGTTGATTGGGTGTAGTTGGTTGATCAACCTTATGAAAACTAGGAAATCGATGTAAAAAGCTGTTAATTGGGTTGATTGTAAGCTGTTTTCCCTTCCAACTCGAATCTTAAGCATCTCTTGGGGGGTTGTCCCTTCATGGGCATACTTTGGTTGATGAATTTCTTCATTTGGGTTTTTTAATGGATCCCAAAAATGAAACTGTTGAATATCTTGGTGAAAAAACAACCATTTCTGTGGGATAACTCTCCAACTTCACCGGCACAGATCTTGCGACTCTGCACCCACTTCCACCGTGCCTTTCTGAAGAAGGACAAGGTGTGGAGGGGAAGGTCATGGCGTCGGCAGGGAGCCGACTGGTTCAACCTTCCTTTTGCCATAAATGGATACCAGTAGTACCGCACAAGGCGGTGGCAGAAGTTTCAAAAATAGGAAACCTATAGGAGAGATTGGTTGTTGTGAATCACGGATGGCAAAGCGAATCCACTGATGGACCGAAAGGTGGTTGGAGCTGTGTTTTTTGGAGTGGCTGCAATGGTTGCAGTGGTCACCCGGTCGGTCACCTCACCCACAACTGCTGGATGTAGTGTGGTGTAGTGCAGCTGTAGTTGTAGTGGAGTGGAGTTGTAGTTGTCGTGTAGTGTAGTTGCAGTTGCATTTGTGGTGGTGTAATGAGTGTAATGTAATGTAATGTAATGCAATGTTGGGTAGTGTAGTGTAGTGTAGTGCAATTGAGTGTAGTGTGGTGTAGTGTAGTGTAGTGTAGCGTAGTGTAGTGTAATGCAATTAGTGTAGTGTAGTTGCAGTTGTAATTGTAGTTGTAGCTGTAGCTGTAGTGTAGTGTTATGTAATGTATTGTTGTTGTAGTTGTAGTTGTAGTTGTAGTGAGTGTAGTGTAGTGTAGTGTAGTGTAGTCTAGTCTAGTCTAGTCTAGTCTAGTGTAGTGTAGTGTAGTGTAGCGTAGTGTAGTGTAGTGTCGCGTGGTGACGTGGTGACGTGGTGTAGTGTAGTGTTGTGTAATTGAGCGTGGTGTACTCTAGCGTAGTGGAGTGTAGTGTAGTGAGGTGTAGTGTAGTAGAGTGGGGTGTAGTGTAGTGTAGCGCAGTGTAGTGTAATGTAATTAGTGTAGCGTAGTGTTAGTGTAGTCTTATGTAGCTGTAAATGTAGTTAGCGTGATGTAGTGTAATGTAGTGTAGTGTAATGTCATTAGTGTAGTGTAAAGTAATGTAGTGTAACTGCAGTTGCAGTTGTAGTTGTAGTCGTAGGTGTAGTCCAGTCTCATTCAGTGTAGTGTAGTGGAGTGTTGTGTAGTGTAGTGTAATTAGTGTAGTGTAATTAGTGTAGTGTAGTGTAGCGCAGTGTAAATGTAGTATTGTTGTTGTTGTAGTTGTAGTTGTAGTTGTAGCTGTGCTTAGTCTAGTGTAGTGTAATGTAGTGTAGTGTAGTGTAATTGAGGGCAGTGTAGTGGAGTGTAGTGGAGTGTGGTGTAGTGTAGTGGAATGTAGTGAAGGTGTAGTTGTAGTTGTAGTGTATTGGAGTCTAGTGTGGTGTAGTGGTGCTTGTAGTTGAACATGCCACAAAACCCTCACGTTTTGCTCCCTTTGGACAAGGTGCACAATCCCTTGCGCCTGCCACGCGAAACGACATCTGAACGTCCAAACGTGGTCCGAACCTGGTGTGTTTTGTACATTTTGATTTGGGAACGTGCCTCGCGCCACAACGGAGCGCACTTTTTCGACATCTCAACTTCAAAATGTGCTCCGAAGCTGAAGTGTTTTGTACATTTTGACTTGGCAATGTGCTTCGCGCCACAACGGCGTGCAATTGTTCATCTCTCATCTGGCCAGCTGGCTCCGCACCCGCCGCTTTAGCGAGCCTACTTTTCGGCCCTCCGGAGCCACAAATCAATGGAAAAACGCAGTGTTTCGCGACTTTCCTACCTGTTCGCGCACCTGGATCTTCTTTCTTCCGAGGCTGTCTCTTTTGTGATCTTCTTTCTTCTTCTCTTCTCTTCTCTGACTCTTCCCATCTCTGCTTTTCATCTGTCCATATAGTCGGAAGTTTGACTTCTAAAGTTCCTTCCATGATTTATGTTATGGATATGTCTTATTTGTATATATATATACATATTTATTTATTTATTTACATATATATATATATATACATTTACATATATATATATATTTATATTTATTTATTTATTTAATATTATTATTATTTTATTTACATATACATATTTTTTATATGTATACAGTGTTTACAAATGACCCAGCCAAGATTTGTTCAAAGATTTGTTGCAGGGTTTCTAAGATTGGCCATAGACATTGGATACGCTCAACTGGGGATGAAAGTTCGTCAATGACGACGGCGCTCATCACCAGCGCGACTGGATGGGAAAGTTTCAGGGCGCCTTGGATGATCATGCTTGGACAAGGCAGCCACGCACATAGAAAGAATAACATTTACAAACCGATATTTCTGCATTTCTACATGTTTATTCAAAAATATAAGCCTCTCTGTATGCAGAGTTTATTTATGTTGACTTATGTCTATGTTTGGATGAGCTTGTATGATCTTGAGGTGGCCGAAGTAACAGAGGTTCTGCGGGCAAACACAAGCCCGCAGCTGAGTCTTTCAACATGGGTCGGTTGGACGGTTAGAGTCGGCAAATTGCACTGCGTCATGCCGAAGATGACGGCAGTGCTTCAGTTGACGGACACGGATTTCAGGCGTTCAAGCAGCTCGTCAAGCTCGGTGCAAGCCGTGTGGCCTTCGGCCTGGGCTTTTTGAGCGGTGATGCACCACTCCTGAACATATGTGATTTTCAATCATTGGGGTGGTGTTCACATAAGCCAAAGTCACATTCAAATGTCGATGAGTCAACTTGAAAACGTTTCTCCAAATGGTTGCGACCTACTATTAGCTTCCTCCGGAAATCAAACGTGGCTATGGAAAATCCACCATTGAGTTCGATGATTTCCCCAGCTAGAAACCTTCATTTATAGGGGATTTCCCACACTACCGGAGGGTGAGTATTTGAATCTGCAGGGTAAACCTTGGCTGGATAGCTTGTTTGCATGGTATCTAAGCACAGCCGGCACAGCCAACCGATCATTGATCCATCAATCTACCAAGGAACAATCATCCCAGCCTTTCATGTTCTTTCAGATTGGCCATCAACAGGCATTTTCAACTTCTTGACAAAGTAAATTCTCGTTTTTCACAGGATCAAGCACAACAGTTTTACACATATGTTCCCATCTGTCCCCATGTTTTTCAATTGTGTTCCCATCATTTCGCATCTTTTCCCATGTGTTTTCCATCTTTTTCCACCATGTTTCCCATCTTTTCCCATATTCGTTCCATTTGTTCCATCTTTTTCCATCATTTCAGGATCATTTCTCCACCTTTTCTTCCTGCCCTGTCGCTGCCGCGCTGTCGCGACCAGGGCCGCCTGGTGCAGCTGGCCGAGGAGCTGCGGCAGAAGCGGCACCTGCTGCGGGCGGCCGAGGTGAGGAGATCGTTGGGAAATCAAGGCATGTGGGGGCCGGGGTTTCCATAAATGTGGATACCCCAATAAATGGATGGCTTAAAATGGGAAACCAATCTATAAATGGATAAACACATCGAAAAGTGTAGAATGCCAGTTGGACCATTCTTGGTCCAAGAACATCCCATTAACTATAGTGTATTATAGTCACCCTCCGGTAAACTGAGAATTTCTCCTGATAGATCCATATCAACAGCAATCAAAGCATTTACCCTCTGGCAATGAAACATGATCATGGAATATTCACCATCTATAGATTACCCTCTAGTAAACTCACATAGCCATGAATTGTCCCATTCACATCCCATACCCTGTGGTAATTTAACATAGCTAAAATTGCACATTAATAGCTACATAGCTATTGAATATAGACCATTACTAGTTGATTTACCTATTACAAATGGTGATTTTCCAGTTCGCAAACTGTTAGTTTACCAGAGGGTATGGGGGTTTTCCAATTGGTTATGAAGACATGGGGTTTCCCCCCATATCCATCGGTCCATCAATGATCATAAATTATCATGTTTATGAGTAGAAACCCCCATATCCATTTCCAAAATTGGATGCCCACAATGGTTCTTATACCATATCCATAAATGTGGATACCCCAATAGCTGGATGGTTTATAATGGAATCTACAAATGGATGAGGACTGGGGGTACCACCAATTTAGGAAACAACCATATGGTGTATCCAATTATGAAACATAGGGATTGGGTTCATAAGCCATGTTTCACATATGATAATCCATTAGATGTGTTTCATAATCACATCATTTATGATAATGGTAAATATTTTTATGTAACTTAACATATTTTAACTGTGGGTAAAACAACGATAAACCATCCCCCAAAGCATCATTTTTATAGGCGGTATAAACCATTCCCAAATGGGTGGTTTATGACATTGTGTTAACCACATCATAAGGTTCAATACGTTGGAGCTGGGGCCTTAGCATATGTTTAGACCAACATTAACCAACAACTTAATGCTGTATATATATATGCATATATAACCAACAATATGGTATTATAAGCCATTAATGTGGTGAATCCAATCATAAGCCATAGGGGTTTACTGAGATTTTATGATTTACTCGTACATGAAAATAGATTATTTATGATAATTATCGGGATTATGTATATATACATATGTATATGTATATATATATATATTTATATTGAAAGTTGTTTGGATATATATAACCAACAATGTATAACCAGCAATATGGTGTATATGTAATCATTAAACAATAGGGATTTAATGGAAATCAATGGGATGTAATGGAATTTAACGGGATATATTGTATTCTCCCATGTTTTGTTCATTTATAACTGGTACATACCTATTAATGGAAATACCATATTCTGTTGGGTACGTACCATTTATAGCCAACAATATTGTATTGTACAATCCACAGGGTCCTACTGGAATTTCATGATTTACCAGAGGATATAACCGATTAAGGGTATGTAACTAACAATATGGTGTAGATTTATATGTATATATATATATATTTATAGCCAACATAAACCAACCATTTGACGGAATTTGATATAACTACCAACAATGTGGCATTATAAGCCATTAATGTGGTAAACCCAATCATAAACCATAGAGATTTAATGGGATTTGTTGGGAATTATTTACCCTCTGGTTATTTAACATACTGCTGGCTTACAATTGTTCAATGTATAAGTAATCACTGGTTATAAACCCTCTGGTTACTTTCCATAAATCACATGTATATATATATATACATATACATATATACTTATATATATATGCATATATACATATACATATATATATATACATAGCAGATGATTTATGATCATTTATGAATGTTTTATAATGATTTATTTGGGATGATGGGAATATATTGGGATTTACTGTAGTGGGATATATAACCAACAATATCCATCCATATTCATCAGGGTTTATATACCCATGCCCATTTTCATGCTTTTACGTTTGCATAAACATGCCCATTTTTGGTGTTCACTATGCAGAAACATAGTTCAAGTCAAAAATCCCATGGTTTGGTGTGTGTGGTCTGCGTCTGCATTGCGGGCACAAAAGAAACCAGATTTACATATATTTACTACCAATGAGAGAGTTCGAGATCTTTCCAACTTATGTTTCCTGACACGTTTACTGCTGCAGCGCAGAAACACCAACATACTGTAACATACTCCGTTGGACTATCTCTGCTAGCCACATCCTGAACATTGAAGCCGTGAAGCAGTTTGTGGACCGTTCCCGGAGTGCCAAGCTTCGCACATTGCCATGCAAAAAGCCCTGAGAAAAGGTTTGTGCACGTCCAATCCGCAAGGCGTGGCCAAAAAAGTCCTCAATGTTCGTCGTGCATCAAACTATACCATCTGTGCTCAGCGGGCCTTTGCGCGTGAGGGGCCTGGTCTCATGACACGTGGCGAGAGTCGACCCCAAGTTCTTCCTTGGTCATACGAATTTACAAAGAGAGTCACTGCAGCTGAGAGCATCGGCAGGGCTCTAGGTTTCTTGACCGAGCGGTTACTGCAGTTTCGACCGAAACACGTTCCCAGACGTCAATAACTTCCAGTTCTGGGCCTTGGCGCGTAAGTCAGTAATCCATGGATGGTTAATCTCCAGTTTGGGTTAAATCCCCCATGATATTCCTTTTTTTTGTGGCTACCATTATGCCAGATATTCATGTCGTGTCACCAGAACCTCACTGACAGACAGCGATCCAATTCCCAGGTGCAGCTAGTGACATTTGGCTTTATTTGTCCTGACATAAGTGTGGAAGACCAATGTTTTGAATAGGTAAAGATAGGAATTGCCTAACCCCGAGCAACATGGATTGTTGAACGTGCTACACTTCCCTGCAGCGCTCGCAGGTGTCGATGACTTTGAATCATTTCGCCCAGCTGCAGATTTTGGACCATGCAGCTTGGCATCTTCGCATCTGACAAGTCTGATGCATGAGGTTGTTGGAAGATTTTTGTTTGATTGGAAAGAACCATGGTTGATTCCAGTTTGATCATCAGAGCGGTGTCCCCATATTTGTTTGTTAAATCACCATTGTTTCTTGCCATACTCCCCATACGTTTGCACAAATCCCACATTTGCTGCTAAAGTTTCGATTCAAACATATTCAAACCATCAAGCAATTGTC